AATTGTGACTGTCCTCACCTGCCTTGCAGACAGTTCCGGGGGACAAGTAGAGCGACAAAGGTTTTCGCTGCACAACGACTCCTAGGAGGCCCTTGTCATTATGGTTATGCGGTTAGCACCCAGCCTTCAGCACAGGCTCTGCTACTACATTACCGGGCTTATTTCGCAGAAAGATTCTTGGGTTAGGCGATTTGTCCTTTGGTTAATTGATCATAGACTAGCGACGAATATCTGGGGCGAATCCAAAGGAAAGCTTGGGCATTTGAAAAACACTACTCATTTATCGACTTTTTTGTAGAGCTAGAGAGTAGTTGGGAGTGTGTGTTATTGTCATTGTGGTTTTTAAGGGATCCTCGTTTGCCTGGCGGTCTTGATTACAATCCTTCCCCAGTGCGGGACATAAATCGTTATGTCGAGCCCCTTGGCGGCAGCATGGACAGGTACCTAGAAGTACATTTGTCATTAGGAGAACTTTGTTCTATGGCGAGTGGCCCCGTAGGAAAAAAATTAATAATGAAGGGCACTTGCTTTCCTTGTCATTTTTACGATTAGTTTGGGTTCATTTGATTTCGTGTTGTTCTCACTATTACATTTCCGAAGTTTAGCTCCCGCATGCGCTCTTCACAACCTGTTGATCGTATTACTTACCCATCATTGGGTGGTGGTGGGTGGTGGAAGTGGACCCACCCCTCTGGTTAGTTGTTTTTACCTATTACATCAGCTGTTGCTGATTTTTAGGTGCCATTGCCTTGGGAGATGGACCTCTCTTAGCGAACTAAAATGCTACGTCATACTTACTCGTCTGTGCCCTCTCACCGAGACAGCGTGACAGCTCTTATAGCATGACAATTAGGCAGGGTCAACAGATCAGTCAGGCCGTAACGAGTGAATTGCACACCGCTGTACGCGTTTTGAGACGCTGAGCCAAAACTTAATGAAGCAGCAGTTCAAGCAAGTCAGTGGAAATATGTGTCATTCGTGGAGAATGGCACGAATAGTTTGAGGCTGTTGATTTGCAAAACTAACCGTTACGAAGCGATCCAGCTTGAAGGTTTTTCCTTTGCTTTTCTGGGAATTCCCACCAGGAGGTAGTCGCTCATCGACGCTTCAACCGTACTTAACTTTGAATGGTGGATTTGAGTAATCGTAATTTGATGAAGCTCTGCTTCTCATTGTAGGAACTAGTTTTGACCGAATGTTCTTTCTTGATATCACCGAACTAGTTGCGTAAACTCGATTGCGATTCCTAGACCGATGTCCGAGTGGTTTTGGTGACTGCCATTCTAGTCACGGGCAAAAAAACTCGTGGTGGAGAATATTGAGAGGGACTCAGGGGGAACTCGAATTCACCGAAAGGTAAGTACCGTTGAATAACGATGAAATGGCCACGATAGACTAGCACATTCTGTCAAGTCATAAGAAAGGCAAAGGTTTGGCACTGTATTACCGCAAGTAATGGACAAGCTATGTTGTTTGGGTGCTGCTGTGAACTCTTGTCGAAAAGTTAGCCGGGACGAAAACATTCGTAGCTCTCTCTCTC